CGGATACTGATGTTTTCCACACACTGATCTCTCCTGAGTCTGAGACTAACTCCTGCCCCTGGGATCCAGGCGAACCCCTAGCTCCGTTGTCCACAAAGGCTGCCTTAGGAAACATGGCTTTTAGGAGTTCCTACTGAAGGAAATTTGAAGAGCACAAAAATGTGATTGAAGCAAAACTCAGTGGCAAACAGAAAATGATTTGTTAGATTGTCACTGGGAAAGGGTTTATTATGACGGCGGTTGGAATAAACAGCGGCCGGTTTCTGCCAACATTTATGGAAATACAGTTTTTTAAGTTTTCAACGTGAGCTGCACACCGGAGCTCCTTCAGTTAAGGGGAAAAAAAATTTCAATACTTAAACTGTGGGGAGAAGGTGGATGGGAGCCAGCAAAAACATTCTCGTTTAATAGTGTTTGCACACGCACAGCAGCAACGTTTGTAGTGAGCCTCCGAGAAAAACCCACCACTAATCCTTCATCGCAGCTGTCTCAGCTCTTGATCGTCTGCCATCCCCCAAACAGCGACTTCTTTTTTCTGGGGACTCCAGTGTTGAATGACCCAGTGTGGCGGGTTTAAACTGTATACAAGGGCGGGGGATGGGAAGGGAAGGGTCCTTAAAGACGCCCCAGGCAGAGGTTTTGTGCGTTGGACTTCCTGTGCCCGCAGCCCAGGCAGGGCTCTTCCGCGCCCCATCCCCGTAGCACCTCGCTGGGAGGGAGGACACTAGGACAGCCCAGCTTCGCCCTCTCTGACCCACTCCTACCCTGGGAATAAGGGTCCTGGGGGCTGTGGTCTGTTCCGGACCAGAATCTTCTCTACACCCCAGTACTATACCCCACCCCAGTATCTGGCTTCGGTGGCTTGTTGAATGAATGAGTGAGCTAAGATAATGGTGCCTCATTTTACAAGGAAAGAATGGGAAGAAATGAAGCAATCTGGCCAACACGTTCAAGATGTGCCGCTTTCGGGTGGTGGTCGGTGGGCCAAACGACAAACATCATTGCCCTGGTCCTTCCCACCTCCCCTCCTTGGGTCGGGACAGTGGGTGACAGCCTTACTCTGGGAAATTAGAACTTGGAAAACTGTTGAAAACAAAATTTAAAAAAAAAATCATGTTAAATGTTTTCTTTTGTTTCTCCTTTACTGTTTTCTCTGTCCTCTGAGTGGGACTGTCTTAAATTAACCACACTGTCATTCTAGGACGTGTGTTGTAATGAGCTGTTTTCTCAGGTCTGTGAGGTTTCTGCTGTGCATCTGGCAAAGCAGAGTCCTCACCCCGTGACTGTTGGTCCTCATGCAGAGCAGGGATCCTGCCCAGCCAGGAGCGGGCCCAGGGCCCTCAGGAGTTGGAGGCTCATTCCTTTTCCCCAGGAAGGTTCTCTTTCAGAGAGTGGGATCCCACTAGGGGAAACATTTGGAATCCAGGGCTTGCTTGGGATCTGATGAGCTGGTCTCTTGCCGCCAAAGTCTGAGAAGTGACAAAGTATTTACAAAGTATGTACTGTTTCAAACAAGGACCCAAAGCCTCCAGGCATGACTGCCAACGGCTACCATGCTCCATGCCTGTCACCCAAGGACCAGCAAAGAGAAAGACAAGCGTAGAAGGAGGCAGGTGGAAAGGGTGAGGAACCACCCAGGGCATTGCCAGAGCTACAGCACAGAGAGTTCACACATCAGCTCTTTGAAGAGGACGGGGAGGACCCAGGGATTCTGTTGGTGTTACCCACAAATTCCAGAGGATACAGTGGGAAAGCTTGGGCTGAGCTGGAGTGGTGGAGTGGGGGTAAGAGTCTGCACGTCACTGGACTTGTTAGGTCCAGATCCCTTGAAGCAAAGCATCTCTCAAGTGATGGAGTGCTCTCAGGAGAAGGGCATGGAGAGGCAGGAACCAGCAGGGGTGTGGTCTCATTGGAGACCAGCCTCAACCTGATCCCATGAGAGCTCTCCCACCTGGAGGCAGGGAGGCCAGCCTTCTGTATGCCTGTGTCAGTGAGTCATTGCTGCATGAAGGCTGCTGGAGTGGGTGGGGTGGGGGACCAACTTATAGGTGAGGGGCCTCCCATTAGGCTGAGGACAATTCTCTGGGTAAGAAGGATACACTTATGCATCTATGGGCATTTAAGCAGCCAACAGGGCCGTAGGAGGATGGGTTCACCTGGCAAGTGAAGGGGACCTAGTGGGGCACCAAAAGTGTCCACCACCCTGGGTGGCTCAGGAGGAGTCATGCATGGTGTCCGCAGAGGGAAAGCGGGACATGCGGCAGATGGGATGGGTGCTGACCGTCCCTGAGCTGGATTTCTCCACTCGCCTCTCCAGATCCCTTTTCCACCTTGCCCTGAGCCCCAGGGTCCTGACCCCGATGGTGGACAATGCCTGGGCTCCCTCACCCTCGGCCACTGACCGCTGGGACTTGCTGCTAAGAGACTGCAGGGTGAGAGAGGAGGTCTAGGTCTTTAAAATCCTTGCCTCCTGCAGGCCATGGCTGGACAGTGGCTGTGCTCTCTCTGACTGTCCCATCCTTTAGGAGAAGGGAGGCAATCGGCTCTGGTCTCTTGGGCCGGTGCTTCTCACACTTGACCACGCCTGCCTGTCACCGGCATCTTGGCAAATGCAGAGTCTGATTTAGCAGGTCTGGGGTGGGGCCTGAGATTATGCATTTTTTGGTGTTCTTAGTTTCTTATTTTTTAAACAACTTTATTATAGTATGATTCCTGTACAGTAAACTATACATATTTCAGATGTACAATTTGAATTTTGATAGATCTCTACACCAATGAAACCACTGCCACAATCAATATACCTAACATTTCCATCACTCCCCAAGAGATGCAAAATTTGAATTCCCAGTTTATCCCTTCCCACTCTCTTCCCCTCCTGGTAACCATGAGTCTGCTCTCTATGTCTGCGAGTCTGTTTCTGTTCTGTAAATAAGTTCATTTTTTTAGTTCACTTTTTTTTTAGATTCCACATATAAGTGACATTACATGACATTTTTCTTTCTCTTTCTGGCTTACTTCACTTAGAATGACGATCTCCAGGTCCATCCATGTTGCTGCAAATGGTATTATTTTATTCTTTTTTAATGGCTGAGTAGTATTCCACATATAGATACCACATCTTTATCCAGTTACCTGTTGATGGGCATTTAGGTTGCTTCCATGTCTTGGCCATTGTAAATAGTGCTGCTATGAACACTGGGGTACATGCGTCTTTTCAAATTATATTTTTCTCCAGATAAATGCCCAGGAGTGGGATTGCTGTATCGCATGGTAAGTTTATTTTTAGCTTTTTAAGGAACCTCCATACTGTTCTCCATAGTGGCTGCACCAATTTACATTCCCACCAGCAGTGTAGGAGGGTTCCCTTTTCTCCACACCCTCTCCAGCATTTATTGTTTGCGGACTTTTGAATGATGGCCATTCTGACTGGTGTGAGGTGTTACCTCTTTGTAGTTTTGATTTGCATTTCTCTAATGATCAGTGATGTTGAGCATCTTTTCATGTGCCTGTTGGCCATCTGTATGTCTTCTTTGAAGAGATGTCTGTTTAGGTCTTCTGCCCACTTTTTGATTGGGTTGCTTTTTTGATATTAAGCTGTATGAGCTGTTTGTATATTTTGGAAGTTAGTCCCTTGTTGGTCACATCATTTGCAAATATTTTCTCCCATTCTATAGGTTGTCTTTTTGTTTTGTTTATGATATCCTTAGCTGTGCAAAAACTTTTAAATTTAATTAGCTCCCATTTGTTTATTTTTACTTTTATTTCTATTACTCCAGCAGCTGGTTCAAACAAAATATTGCTGTGATTTATGTCAAAGAGTGTTCTGCCTATGTGTTCCTCTAGGAGTTTTATAGTATCTGGTCTTACATTTAGGTCTTTAATCCATTTTGAGTTTATTTTTGTATAAGGTGTTAGAAAGTGTTCTAATTTTGGTCTTTTACAGGTAACTGTCCAGTTTTCCCAGCACCACTTACTGAAGAGACTGTCCTCTCTCCATTGTGTATTCCTGCCTCCTTTGTTGTAGATTAATTGAGTGCGTGGGTTTATCTCTGGACTTTCTATATTGTTCCATTGACCTATGTGTCTGGTTTTATGCCGATACCATACTGTTCTAATTACTGTAGCTTTGTAGACTAGTCTGAAATGATGATTTAGGATTCTGCATTTCTAACATATTCCTACATGGTGTCTGTGCTGCTGGCCTGGGAACCACATTTTGAGCAGCAAGGTCCTGGGTTTTTTTTGTTGTAGTGGGAGGCATGGTCTCTGGTTGTGGGAGGAAGGTAGAGGGAGGGGGAGGAGCTCTGCAGATGCCCCTGAAATCCTGCTGCAGGAGGCAATGTGGCTGAGACTGAGGCTTAGAAAGGGTGGTCTTAGATACAGCAAGTGTTAAGACATTATTTTCAAAATTACTAGAGGATCTTTTTTTTTTTTTCAGAAAGAACTATTGTGACATAACTCAGATATAAAATACACTAACTGTTTGGGGAAATATTTATTTTAAATATCTCAGAAGCTTTGTGTTAATGGATCTCCCCACAAATTTTCATGAGCATGAAACATTTACCTGTCTCAAAACATGCATAACAACATACAATTTAAGTTTACAGTGTTTTAATCATTCCCTTTCTATGTGTATTTTTAGATCCTCTAACATTAGTTTAGGTAACACCAAATCAGTAAAATCTTAAAAACGGGTGTATCAGGTTTATTTAGCATTTCTACCAAATACCACATTTCCATGTACTAATGTATTTGTAACACATTTATGAATACATTTGTATTAATATTACCTATTTTTGTGTTGATATTAAGTCAGCGTTCCTGGGTTATTATGTAACAGTTGGATGACATGACCCCCGATGTTGAAATGGAGGTTATGTTGCAGGTTGTTTCTAAAGGGAGGAAAGTTATCTTGTACTAGATTAGAAAAGTATCTAGTCATAAATATATACACTCTCCGGCTTTTCTTTTGTTGTGTTTGGCTTTGGTTACGTGTAGAAAGCATTTCGTTCCTGTTGTTCTAGGTTTTCGTCGGACGCATAGGTATTCCATTAGTGCCCTCCCGCCTTCATTTACTCAGGAATGGGGACTGAGCTCTTTGACTATGCTGGACTGTCTTTGCACTATTTAGCTTATTTTTCCAAAGCTTGCGCCCCCCTGCCCCCAAAAAGTGGCCGGGTACAAAACATGTGGGAAGTCTCTTTTTCTTTAGGTAAAACACCACTAACACAATTTTTCCATTGTAAATCGGGACACTTAGACTCCTAGTGTCTCAAAATCAATGTGTTGCCTCCATCCCTTTTTACCACTGAAAACCATTTTTAAGAAGGTGATTCACATTGGGCAAACAGAATGTGTTTTGTTTCTGGGCCGATACATAGGAGACCATTGGAGATGGTATTTCGGCAGCCTTAACTGGCACCTCGGGCACAGCATCCCTGACGTCTGTACAGGACAGACCCCAGGTGTTGCTCGTCTGTGCCTCTAGGGCCTCAGGCGGCCTCCAAGCTCAAACTTTGTTGCCATTAAACCAGTGGTTCTCAATCTTGAGTGCGCGTCAGAGTCACCTGGTTCAAACACAGAGCGCTGGCCCCACCCCCAGGGTCTCTGCTTTGTCTGGGGTGGAACCAGAGAATTTACATCTCCAGCAAGTTCCCAGGTGATGTTGGTGTCACTGGTCTGAGGACCACGCTTGGAAAACTACTGTCCCAAAAAGGCCTTGCTGGCCACCGTGAGCCGGGTCTCCCAATGGCCAGGGTGAGTCCACCCTGCACTCAGGCTATTTCCACAGCACTTACCGATCGGCACGTCATTTCACATTCCTTTTTAATTCCTCTGCTTCTGCATCAAGTAAGTACCCATGCTTGATATCCTAGTCCTTGGCCCTCTTAAAACATTGTTTTTCCCTCCTATGTCGTCCCTCCTCCTGGGAGTTCAGAGAAATGGTTAATCCTGAGAAAGGAAACCAAGGACTGAGTTTTGTTAGTCCTGGCAAAAACTCTAAGGCACTCCTAGACACAGACTGGTCTAAGACAACCAGGACGCTGCTTCTGAGGAAACGGTGCCTGCCGGGACAAAGCTAACCTGTCTTTAAAAAAAAATGATGCGCCATCTTGCAGAATAGCAGGAAAGGGGTGGACATGTGTCCCACATCCCCTTCCCCCAACAAAATGTCAGCCTTCAGTTCTTTCCAATTTCAACAAACAGTTAAAAAGAAATCTCATCTAGACTGTGTCCTGGTCTTTGGCTCGTTTGCCCACAGCGACATCGTGACACTAAAAGGCAATAATCCATTATTCTTCTCTCGGCCACTCCCAACACTGCTCTCTGATGCTCCGTGTGTCACGCCTACTTCAACAATTTCAGGTCATGGAGTCAGTCATTTTCTGCCTTAAAAAAAAAAAAGCAAAGTAGACAACAGAAGTGAGTGTCGACCTCAGTCTGGAATTAGAGCCAAGCTCGGGCTGGGATGAGCGCCACGGGTCACAGGGCAGACGGTCGGGGAGATACTGACACATGTGATGATGCCACCGAAGCCTCCCTGCCCTGCCAGGGGCCTCGGGAGACGCTTCTCAGCCTCTTAAACAAAGACCTGAGACAAAGAGGATGAGCCTCACTCCCCATTTCCTGCTCTCGTGAACCATCCGTGTTTCTCAAGGGGACGTGTCACAGTTTCTTCTCCTCCCCAGTGGCTCTGGGGGTGCCCAGCCCAGGTGGCTAGACCTTCTCCATCTCGATCTGCTGGTGGTAGTGCCGAGCCTGCCGCGGGCCGCCGTTCAGCTTGTACACGGAGCTCTTGTGCTGGCACCTGCGGTGGCCCCACACGGCCCCCACGCCCGCCAGGAACAGCAGCAGGCACAGGACGGTGACAATGGTGGCAATGATGGGGCCTCTGCTGAGGCTGGGACACTTATCCCCGACACAGGGCTCCAGGGTTGGAAGGAGGTCCTCACTTGCCCCTGGCCCGGGGTCTTCCTGTCCCAGGAAGTCCTCAGACAGCAGGTATGGGAAGGTGTCCCGGGCCCCAGGGGCAGTGGTTGCCTCTGGAGTCTGGGGGGCCGCCATGACAGTTGGGGGGATGCGGCTGGGCGTCTTCGGGACAGCGGTGGTTGCTGTCTCCAGGGCGGAGCTGGTGAGTTCATGGGGTAGGGCGGCCATGGGGGACCTCTCAGTGGCAAATCTCCAAGGGACGGTTGACCCGTACCTAGTCAAGTCACCGTCCTCCTTGCTGGGACCCTCAGTTTCAGACACATTCACGGGTCTGAGAGCCAAAGCTTCTACGTCTAGTGTTTGAGATGGAAGAACTGAACTATGGGTCATGTCCTCGCTTGGTGTGAGGGTGGTACCCATGAGCTTCTTAACTTCCACAAGAACAGGCTGATTGGGAGTAACCAGGATGCTTTCTTCCAGCCCGACTGATCCATCCCCCTTGTCCTCATCTTCCTCGTCTTCCTCTTCCTCGGCCTCCTTCTTCCTCCAAGCCCCATCGGTCACGGGGTAGCCATCTAACCAGGACCCATCGCTGCTGCTCACCACTGGGTCACCTACCTTGCTGTCATTCCTGCCCACAAATGTCCCCGAGGGACCATCAGTGCCGCTGTAGGTGACCCTGGCCTCAGGCTCCACTGAGGCCGGGGTTCCGCCCCTGAGCTTGTCTTCACCAGGAAACTGCTCTTTGGTGTCCTCCTCCGTCTCCTGCTCCAACTCAGGCTCGTGGAAGGTCTCAGCGGGAAACCAGAACAAGAACTTCTGGTTGCGCGGGGATCCCGGCAGGTCTGTGGGGGCGCTGCTCCCAGCGCTGGGCCAGCCTGTAGTTGGCGCAGAGGCTGTGTCCCCGGCTGGGGGTTGTCTCCCCACAGAAATGGAGACCAGGCGGTCCTGTTTCGGAGCCGCCTCAGGGGCTGCTCCCGGATCCCTGTCCTCCTCTGCCTCCGTCCGGGAATCTTCCATGAGCTCTCTGAACAGCACAGATCTGTCGTCCGGAAAATTGTCTTCATAGTCAATGTGTGCCTCAGCCTCGTCTGGAAGGAAAGAGGGAAAACCTCATTAGGTCCCAGGTCCCAGAGCCAGTGTGGAACAGAGGAAAGGGAACCATAAAGCACAGGACTGGAACAAAAGAAATAAAACTGCTGTTCCCAGGGGCTATGACCGCATCACAGATAAATGCAAAGAACCTACAACACAAATGGTTACAATTAACATGTGAGTTTATCAAGGACACTGGGGCAAGGACAGTCAATATACAGCATCAACTGTATTTCTATACACCAACAATAAACAGAAAATAAAAATTTTAAAAGATGCCATTAGCCATTGCACAAAAAAAAAAATCAAACTCCTAGGAATAAATCTAACAAGAGAGGTGCAAGATTTCTACATGGAATGGTAGAAAGTATTGCTGAGCAAAATTAAAGAAGACCTGGGGCGGGGAGTGGGGTGGAGGGAAATAGCTCAGTGGTAGACTGCGTGCTCAGCATGCATGAGGTCCTGGGTTCCATCCCCAGTACCTACATTAAAAAAAAAATTAACGAAGACCTAAATAATGAAGAGCTATCCCATGATTGTATAACGGAAGGCTCAAAATTGTCGAGTTGTCAATCCTGCCCAAATTGATCTACGTCGATTTAACACAATCCTAGTAAGTATCTCAGACATTGACAAGCTGATGCTAAAATGTATGGAAATGCAAAGGCCCAGGAATAGACCAGGCAATCGTGAAAAAGGAGAGAAAAGCTGGAGGATGTACAACGCAAGGTTTCAAGGTTTACTGTAAAGCTGGAGTACTTTTTAAGACTGCGTGTGGTATTGGCACAAAGATAATTGAATTACATTAGCTTTAAGAACTTCTGTTCATCCAAAGCCACCATGAAAGAGAATTAAAATGGAAGCCACAGCGTTGAAGATAATTGCAACACAAATTACCTCCAGAAATTAGAAAGAACTCCTACAAATCAATAATAAATAGGCAGACAAACCACAGAAGAGTTGGCAAGATACCTGAATCAGCACATCACACAGACCAAAAGATATCTAGTCATTAAACACGTAGAAAGATGGCCAACCTCATTCATCAGAGAGAAATGCTAATCACAGCCATAATGAGACGTCATTACATAGCACCAGATTGGCTGAAATTAAGTAGACCGACAGTCTCTGGTGTTAACAAGGAAGTGTGGCCCCGCCGATGCCCCAGAGCAAAGCCATTCCACTCCTAGGTCTGCACGTGGGCACCAAAGACACACACAACCATGTTCTTAACAACCCAAACCTGGACACACCTCCAATGGCCGTCGACTGCAGAGCTGCTACACACAAACTTTTTTTTTAATTAAAAAAGACTCTTCTGCAGCACTGCAGAGGAAATGATAATTTTTGCAGAACAATATACATGTGCCAGTTGTCTCCCAGAAGTTCTGCTCTCCAGGATGAATGTGCCTGTGTTCTCAGCTAGAACACAGTCCCCTTTCACGGTGGGGAAGGCAGGAAGCGGGTCTCTCCAAGACCGTTTTTCCTCAAGAAGCTTTCAGCCGCTGGAAATCGCAGGCCATTACCTCACACGCAGCCTGCAGCAGAAGGCCTCCCACCACACGGTGTTTTCCTGGGGCGTGTTTCTTCGTTGCCTCATCGCAGCCCCGAGACACCAAACCATCAAGCACCCACAAGTGGTTCCATGGAACTCTGGTCAATTCTTGTTAAATTCTGACCCTGCATTCATTTTCTTTCAGGTCATCAATGGTAAACCGTTGGGTATGAATAAGCTAAAGGAATGAATATTTGCACACAGATTTGCTGGAGGGAAAGCCAGCCGGGAGCCCGAGTGAAGGTGGGCAGTGGAGTGGGAGCGGTCCCCTGCTATCCTCCCAGGCCAGCTCCTTATAACCCCAAGCAGATGCCAAGACGGACATGGCCCTGGGTAAACAGAATGCCACCCGCGTAGCCCACAGGGATGCTCAGAAACCCTC